CCTCAGCTCTTCAGCTCAAGGCGAGCGCTCTACCACTTGAGCTACAGCGCCACTTCCGGTTTTCTGGTGGTTTATTGGAGATAGGAGTCTCAGGGTCTCTCCTGCCCGGGCTGGCTTTGAACCGCGATCCTCAGATCTCAGCCTCCTGAGTAGCTAGGATTACAGGCGTGAGCCACCAGCGCCCGGCCTCCAACTACAAGTATATTAAGTGACAGGGCAATTTTTACTCTCTGTGTGTGCGTGTGCGTGTGCATGTGTGTGTGTGTGTGTGTGTGTGTGTAGTTTGTCATAATTGCTTTAATCCAATGTTTATTTTTTATTTTTTTGTCAGTTGTGGGGCTTGAACTCTGGTCCTGAGTCCCTGCACTCTTCAGCTCATGGTGAGCACTCTACCACTTGAGCCACAGCGCCACTTCCAGTTTTCTGGTGGTTAACTGGAGATAAGAGTTTCATGGACTTTGTTGTCCAGGCTGGCTTTGAACCGTGATCCTCAGATCTCAGCCTACTGAGTAGCTAGGATTACAGGCATGTGCCACTGGCTCCCGGCTAATCAAATGTTTTTTGATAAGAAGACTTCAGGATTCTGGTTTTTTTTGTTTTGTGGTGGTTACATTTGTTGAAAGTAATATAGATTAAAAATGCTTATAATTATATCTTAACACTATACAAGAATAATGGCACTAGTTTGTTGGAACATTGATCAACTATGAGATATCTGCAATATCAAATTAGGATAATTAAAGTATTATGATTTAAGACTGTTTTTGTTGCCAGATGCTGGTGGCTCATTCCTATAATCCTAGCTACTCAGGAGGCTAAGAGCTGAGGATTATGGTTTGAAGCCAGCTTGGCTAGGAAAGTCTGTGAGACTCTCATCTCTAATTATCCACCAGAAAACTGGAAGTAGAGCTGTGGCTCAGAGTGGTAAGTGCTAGCCTTGAGCAGAAAAGCTCAGTGACAGGGTCCAGGCTCTGAGTTCAAGCTCCATAACTGGCAGAAAAAAAATGATTTTTTTTGTTTTTAAAATTAGAGATGGTTCATGTCATGTTTTTTTTGTTCGTTTAAATTCCTGGGAATCAAATCAAAGGCCTTGCTCATGCTAGGCAAGTTCTCTACCATTGAGCTGTACCCCCAGCCTATATATATTTGCTTTGTATGTGAAAAAAAAAGAATAGAATTACAAATCTGTATTAGAATCATATATAACCTCTGGGATGCCATGGATCCCTGGGAGAATGTAGAGATGGCAAAAGGCCTCTGATACTGGATTTCAAATTTCTGTTCAGTAGAACAAGAAGTACAAGGGAGATCAGTTTCTATGATCATCTTGTAGTTTGTTTCCATGAAGATGAAATGAAATATTCATTAGTAACTGATCACAGAGGCATTGGTTATTCATGCCTATAATCCTAGCTACTCAGGAGACTGAGATTGATTAGGTTGTAGTTTAAGGTCAGCCTGGACAAAATGTTCTTTAATTAATATCTGGGTAGGTTGGCCTGTGCCTGTCATCCTAGCTACATGAGAGAATGAAATTGTAAGGATCATAATTTCCAGGCCAACCTGGGCAAAAAGTGTATGTAAACTTTATGTCAGTGGAAGCAGTGAACCTGGTGTGGTACAGGTGCCTGTCATCCCAGCTACTGTAGGAATGACTTTACCATAGGAGGATGGAGATAAGGAGGGTATAGGCCCAGGTTGGAAGCAAGA